TTAATGCACATCATAAAAAAGGCAAATTGCAGTTATCCAAGTTATCAACACATTCACTGAATCCTATAATGTTAATTCTTGTGGAGATTACAAAGACCAATAACTTTGCTCCTAATAATCTTTCAATAAAGCAGGAGATACAATCAGCACACAATTGGAAGATAAATCTTTACATTAGAAATATTATAAGTAGATTGCTGTAGAAATTCAAAGTAGTTAAGGTGATATGTAGGGGCTACAAGGCAGAGGAGGTTTTTGAAGAGGGTCTTGGATTTTGATAGATGGATTGGAGGCAGGGAGAGGGCATTTTTAGATGGAGGGAATGGCATGAGCAAAGATGCAGAGGCAGCAATGATTGGCAAGGCTTATTCAAGTGATACTAAATAAGCTTGCTTAGCTTCAAAGTGTGAAAGGCAATCATACCTTCATTCATTCAACAAAGAATTATTATGAACATCTATTTTCTGATGATTCCAGTTTGTGTTTAAAATTCATACCCCTAGTAAGCTAGATTATATCTAACTCTCCCTGACTTCTAAGTCTTATGCTGTCAACTAAACCACATTGAATAAATATATATATCTAATATATGCTATATATAGTATAAATTATAAAAGAGACACAAAAATGCATATGGAAACACCAGAGAGGGAGAAATAATTTCTTCTTTGAGGAGTCAGTAAAGGCTTCACAGAAGAAGTGACATTTGAATTTAGTAATAGTATGATAGAAGAAATAATCCTTAACTTGGGAGTGTTAACATCCAACCCTTCCCCTAATCCATATATTAAAAGAGCAGTAACTTCCAGTTATTGATCTTTGTAATCTCCACAAGAATTATAATAAAAATGTGAGACTCAATCAATATATATTCTAGCTCACCAACATGAACCTCAATACTGAAAATCTGTTTTCTTCCCTTTTTTAAAACTCAACTCTTGAACTCCTGGTTTTAGGATGGCAGATTTTATTTTGCATGATAAAAGCTATTGAAATCAAGGTAATAATATAATATGAGATGAAAGCGTGAGAGGGAGAAAAAGCAAAGTTGAAAAATAGTGGAGAGATGCTCCAAAACAGCTGGGGGACATGATGCCAGTGGATAAAAGAAAAAGGAATGTTTAGAAGTGTTACTGTGATAATAAATATTTGGATTCCTTCCATGGTTTTTAAGAAAGTTAAGTAGGGGATGTTGGAAGTTTTTTGGCTTCTGGACTATGTTTCCTCGTTGAGAATGAGCCATGTGAATCTCAGCTTTGTAAGCATGTACTAATAACACTAGCAATAACATTATTACTCATTATGAAAGACATTTATTCAAGTCTTACTCAGGCAATGTACTGGGTTCACTGTTTACTTAGTTGACTATCAGTATTGAAAATGCTCAAATCCTAAGTAAGTGCTATAGCATCATGGAGTCCTTTAACAAAGCACATCTCAGATTGTGAAAAATAGAGCACACCAAAAGCCCCTCACAGTCAATAGTTATATAGTATTTTAATACTATAAATTTTGTGTTGAATATCATTTTTATGTATGCCTTTAACCACTATTATGTTGTTTGAAGTTGTGCCTTCTTTATTCTCCATGCTAAATATTCCATTATTCTACTCGTGGTGGGCATTTACATTTTTCTAATTTTTATATATGGTATTATGAATAGTGCTGCTATTAACATCCTTGTACACATCTTTTGGTGAGCATGTGTATATAACTCTATTGAATATTTAGTTTGGAGTAGAATTCTGAGTTATAAGGTATGCAAATATTTAGCTTTCATAAACATTTATAGCTTTACAAAGGATTAGTAGCAATTTACACTCCCACCAGCAGTATGTAAGAGTTTAAGTTGCTCTACATTTTTTAAAACACTTGGTATTTTATCTCTTTTTCATTTTAGCTGTTATGGTGGGTGTGTTATCATATTACTTTAGTTTTTATTTCCCTAATGAAATGGGGAAGAAATAGAAGTTGAACATTTTTCTATATTTATTTCATATTCAAATATCTTCTTTTATGAAGTATACATACAAATTTTTTTGCCCATTCATCTACTATGATGTTTGTCTTTTTAAAATGGAATTTTAGAGTTTTTTTAAAATATATTCTTTATACGAATCCTTTGTCAAAAATATTTATTTCAAAAATATTCTCCCATTCTGTTTATGGTCTTAATGGTGCCATTTGATGAACAGAAGTTCTTAATAGAGATAGACCACTTCAGCATTTTTTTCTTTATGGTTATTCTTCTATGTTTTCTTTTAAAAGATGTGTTGTTTTATTTTCTACATCTAGATCTGCAGTCAATCTGGAATTGACTTTTATGTATGGAGTAAAGTAGGAGTAAGATTAAATTTTTATCCAGTTGACCTTCTATTGGATTTTTAAATTCCACTTCTTTATTTGCAATTACCTAATTGTTCTTATACCTAGATAAAGAATATTGAGGCTTAACTTAAGTAACATGCCCAAGATCACATAGCTTTATTCATCGAAGGTATACCATGATCTGATCTATGTTTCAGAAACAAAACATTGACCAAATTGAGGAGGATGGATTGGGGTGCTAGTGATGCTGGTGAAACTGAAGGCAGGAAGACCCAACAGGAGGTTCTTGCAATTATTAAATTGAAACATAATGAGAAAATGATCCTGACAATAGCTGGCAGGTAGTTAATAGATCTGAGAGATATTTAGGAGGCCAACTTTATAAGTTTTGTCAGTTTAAAGAATTTTAGTGGTGCCATTAGCCAGTTAGGCATTGCAAGAGAAGTCAACAATAGAATAAGTATATGCTGAGTGGTTAAAAATATGCCAGACGCTGGGCTCAATTCTTGAATCACAATGATTAACAAGAGAGCTATGGTGCTTATTCTTAAGGGGCTTATAGTTTTGTGGGAGCAGAAAAATATGCAATGGCAACAATGTGTGATAAGTGCTATATGAAGGGAGGTATAGACTATTATCAGAGCACACAGGAGGTTTGCCTAACTCACACTAGGGTTCAGAGATGACTTCTCTGTAAGATTCTGGCGGGGAGATAATAGCAATCAAAATAGCAATCAAATCAAGAAAATGGAAAATTTTTTTTTATTTCAGCATATTATGGGGGTACAGATGTTTAGGTTACGTATGTTGCCCTTGCCCCTCCCCTCCCCCCCTAAGTCCGAGTTTCAAATATGTCCATCCTTCGGGTGGTGCACAAATGGAGAATTTTTGAGGAAGAAGGAATAGCATATGTAGAGGGGCAGGAGAGAAAGTGAGAGAGAGAGAAAGAGAGTCAGGGAGATGGCATTTTCTAAGCATTAAAAGAAATTCAGTTTTGCTTGAACACAGAATAAAAAACAGTAGGGAGAGGTGGAAGTTTGTGAAGGATGAGGCTGAAGAGTTATGTAGGATCTACATCTTGGATGACTTTGGAGGTCATTTAAAGCATCTTGGAAATTATCCCAAGTGCAAGGAGGAATTCCTGAAGAAGAAACATTTCTTTTCATAATGGGAAAGTAGTGAGAAGATAATGTGGTGTAATTTAACATAGTGAGTGCAAGAAGTGTGTTTTACGTATTGCATTTAGATGAGATACTACTGTAAAATTCCCAAGAGAGAAATCTGGGATGTGGCTAAAGATGTGGATTCACCAGTTTATTGGTGATGCATTGAAACAATGAGAGTGGATGAAATTGTCCTAGGAAATAATACTGGAATTTTAGTGGTGGTCATTTTGTGGAAGGACATTAATATCAAGTCACAGTGTTTGCATTTGAGTTGGAAAGTCAAAGTAAGTTTTTGAATTGTTAGTGATGATGAAGGCCATGCATTAGGAATATGAACCTGGAAGAAGTGGCAGACTGTATAGAATTAGGAAGAGTTCAGATACTGTGAAACCACCAAGCTAGGAGCTGGTGAGGGAGAGATGGAGGTGAGGTAAGGTAACGTGATGACTAGCCAGAGTTTACATGGTTGTAAGCAATGGGAAACAATTCAAACTATTTTTTAACAGGAACTTTATTGGCTCGCATAACTGAAAACTCTGAGCATGAATGTCTTTAGACCCAGCTTGATCCAGGATTAACATCCAGGATGACATCAATTGCTCTGTTTCCTTCCTTTAGCTCTGCTTTCCCCTTTGGTGATTTCACTCTCAGTCTGGCTTTCCCCACGAATCAGCAAAGATGGCCAGAAGAAGGCATACATTCTATCTGTCTAGAGACCTTTGAAGAAAAGAGTAATTATTTTCTGATACTTAGGCGACATTCCTACAATTAAGTCTGATTGGCATGGCTTATGTCACTTGCTACCCTGAATGAATCACTGTGGCTAGGGGGGTGATCATTTTTCATTGAACAGGTTTGTGTTTCATGCTTCCCATCAATTTGGAGAATACGGTCAGTCCCACCCAGCAAAATAGGGACTGAGAATGGGAGACAGGTGATTCTTTAAAATGAAAAGATGCATTTTTAAAACATTTTTTTATTTCAGCATATTACAGGGGTACAAATGTTTAGATCACATATATTGCCTTTGCCCCTCCCGAGTCAGGGCTTCAAGCGTGTCCATCCCCCAGATGGTGCACACCACACCCATTAGGTGTGAAAGATGCATTCTTTTACCAGAAGAGGGATGCTGTGCAGACCAAAATAATAGATATATACCTTGAGGACACTGAGAAAAAAGACAGAGAAGAGAAAGAAGAAAGAGAGAGAGAAGCAGGGAAGAGAAAAGAAGAGAGGCGGGGAAGGGGAGAGGGAGAAATATTCATCATAAACAGCATCTATCATGACCTCTATGGGACCAAGAAGCTGAGCTGCATATAACTAGAAAGCCTGCTGAAAAGATATGATATGAAAGATTTACATGAACATTCTCTGTTGTAACAACGAGAGTCTCATATTTGGCTTTACAAACACAAATCTCTCATCATACTGGGTCTGCAGTTTCATCTGTGAATATCAAAAACATACCTTTTACTCAAATGTAAATATCACACGCCTTAAGGGATTTCATATTTTCCACGAGTGCAGGTGTCTGCTGAGGACTTTCTTCACAGCCTTTTTAACCTCCTTATTCCTAAGGCTGTAGATAATGGGGTTCAGCATTGGGGCTATCACTCCGTAAGACAGCCCAATGATCTCATCAGATGTCTTTGTGTCCTTTGACTTGGGCTTCATGTACATAAAAAGAGCTGAACCATAGAATAAAATTACTACAGCCAGATGGGCTGAACAGGTAGAAAAGGCTTTGTTTTTCCCCTCAGCAGAGTTAAGTCTCAGGATGGTAGAGAGAATGAAAACATAAGAAATAAAAATTGACAGTAGGGGAATCACTAAGAAAATGATACTTCCCACTGTTATGATAAGCACATTGACAGTGATATCTGAACAAATGAGTTTAAGAAGAGCCAACAACTCACAGGTAGGATGGTCAATGACATTCCCACAGAAAGGTAACAACATCGTCAGGACTGTTTGCACTAGGGAGCTCAGACAGCCTATGATCCAGGACCACGCAGCCATTTGCATGTATAGCATCCTGTTCATGATGATGGGATACCTCAGTGGGTTGCAGATAGCCACATACCGGTCATAGGCCATCACAGCCAGGAGGACACACTCAGTACAGCCCAAGCCAAGGGAGACAACCATCTGCAGAGCACAACCAAAGAAGGAGATGGATTTTCTCTCAGACATAAATATGATGAGCATTGGAGGAATGAAAGAGGATGTATAACAGATATCCAAGAATGAGAGGTTTCCAAGGAAGAAGTACATGGGGGTGTGGAGGTGTGAATCCAGGATGCTGATGATAATGAGGAGGCTGTTTCCCAGGAGGATTATCAGGTACATGGTGAGGCAAAACATGAACAGAGAAAGCTGAAGCTCTGGGTATCTGGAAAGTCCCACTAGAAAGAATTCAGTCACAGCAGAGTAATTCCCTGTCTCCATGTGTCCCTGTCACCTGTAGGGTTCATGTAAGGAAATGACGCAGGGAAATTTAAATTTACAAATTAGTCTTAAAAAAAATCACTTTAACTTGCATTATTTTGTTTGAATTTTAGCACAGGAAGTCCAGAAGGGCGTGGATATAATTTTAATTTCATTGAGGATGAAACTGAAGCACTTAGTGATTTATTACTTTGTAGGACCTTGCAGTAGCAAAGGCAAGACTACCAGTAACCTAAGAATTGTGCTGCGGAGTGTCAGTCCTGTAATAAAATAAAAAGTAGGGACAACAGAATTCCAAACATGGGTATGGAGCCATGTCATTATTAATGAATAATGAAATAAAAGCTGTTTTTGTCTTCTGCTTAGTGAGTTATCATCTAGACTATGGTTTTGAAAGAGATTAAAAAAAAAAGAGAGATGATGGTAGCAATGTCTTACTGTCTTAGAAAAGATTTCCTTTCTGAATGTTTCTGCGTATCTCTATTCACATTGGCACATAGACTTGTTTCCTTAAAAGTATAAGCTGAGGCAGACTTGATTTGTTTGTGCACAATTGTTCTGAAGTAGAAAGAGGAAGAGGAGGAGGAGGATGCAAGGTAGGAGGAGGAGAGAAGGAGCCTCTTCTTACTGTTACTAAAGATTACTAAACTTAGGGAGTTTAGTGAACTTAGGGAGAGTGAGTGTTAAGGAGAAAGGAATGAAGGAGGAATGGCTCTCTTTCTTTCTGTTCAAAAAAGTCCCAGATGAGGGAGGCTATTTTTCCAATATTTAGGGAAAATAAGAGAAAGTGGAAAAAGTAACCCTATTATCACTGAATCATTCCATAATAAAATTCTCAGTTTAATCTCTCCATCTTCTTTCATTCCATTTCCACATATCTCCACCTCATGACTGTGTCAAGGGAGAAGTTATTGGGAGATACTTTGCACCTTGATAATCTTCATCAGTCTTGCCTAAAATGCCAGTCCAGTAGAATAATACAGTCTGAGACAGAACGGTGTGCTTGCTACATAACATGGCTTCAAGAAAAGTCCTTTCTAAACAGACTGCTACTCCTAAATCCTTCTAATATAGAAATTCTTCTGGCCCTTCCTCTCCATGCTCTGCAGTAGCCATGCTGAACTCCTTTCAGTTTACCCCAAACGCTACACTCATTTCTTCTTTTTGCTTTTGCACACACTCTTATCTTAAACAGGAAGGGACCCTTTACATCAAGTTATTACCTTTCTCTAGAAAACCTTCCTGAATTTCTAGTTTGGATAGGATGTCCATCTTATGTTTTCGTACTGCTGTGCTTACCTCTTTCATAGAATCCTTCCTTTATTCATTTATTTAACACTTAGCATGACAGATACTACAGTAGTTATCAGAGATCCAACTGGGAGAAAGACTGATGCTGACCCTCAAAATTGGCACTGGACACAGACTGGAGAGAGTTATTTTATTTTCAAGAAACAAATAACTTCTGTGCTATGGAAAGCGTTTAATGTCCAAAAATTTTTGACGTACTTTGCAAATGACTTTATCAAAACAAAATAATGTTTATACCCCAAATTGTCAAAGATGGAATAAAACTATGGTTTAATCCCATTTGAATATATATATATAAATTAAAATAAATATATTCAAACCAAATCCAACTGTATATTAAAGTAATATCACCAATGCAAAGCATTCCAAACTAATGTTTGGAAATCTATAAATATATTGCACCATATAGGTAAATAGAAAAACAAACCTATATGGTCATGTCTAGCTAGAAAGAAAAAAAATTATTTGATAGAATGCCACACTCATTTTGATTAAAAAAAAAACCCTCTTAATTATCTAGACATGGGACAACTTGATTTTAAATGGTGAAACTCTGGAGATAGTTCCCTAAAAGTCAGCCAAAGATTTCTGTTGTCATCATCATCATCATCATTATTGAACATTATTTTTTTTTAAAGATCTATCCAATAGAAAGTCGTAATTTTTTTTTCCCTCTAGGATGGTATGTGGTTATGGGACATGTCATAGTATGTGAGAAAACGTACTTTCATTTGTTATGCCATGGAAAACTATAATCTTGGAGAAGAGTTAAGGACCAGGAAAAATGCTCATGATATAATATTATGTGGTGAAAGCAAGCTTCAAGGCAATATAAATGATCATAATTTTGTATATATGTAGTTGGAAGAAAGTGTATGAAAATATGAGGTGTAGTTTTTTTGATGGATTTGGTTTTGATGTATTTTAAGTTTTCTTAATCTTTTTCCTATTTTCCAAATTTTGTTCAATGAACCTGTAGTTTCTGATTGTAAAAATAGAAAAAAAAATAACTTTTTTTTTAAATTGGGGAACTGCCCTTGGGCAATAGTCGGCATCTTTATACTCTAATGATTAGAACATCACCAAAAATAGCAAAAAGGTCCAGACATTTTTTGGCACCAGCTTTTTCTAAAACTCTAGAAGGGAAAAGAACAATCAATTGACAGGAAATTGGACAAACATTTTCTCTTGCTTTATTACGTAGACTAACGGTTCAATCTCACAAATATATCAATCCTGAGCAGACATACAGCCATAATTCTTGCAAAAGGATTCTAGAGCCCACCTTTTAGAACGTGACCAAGGTTAGCAGGGCAGATAGGATGCATTAAAAAAACAACAGTATCACATAGTAAAAAGAAAGACAGATGAGATACCTGGTGGATAGGAGGGGCCATGAAGAAACATCTGGGGCTTCTTTCTCTTTGTCAAAAAAAAATAAAGTTTCAATTTCTTGGTTCTCTGAGTTTTGTCCATCTCCCCAAAGGCCCTGTCCTTAGATCATTTTTAAACACTGGGTACCATCTATGGAAGGAAATAAAACTGTGAGACTCATGGCTCATGTGTATCCACCTATCTTCTACTTGTATTTGCCAACAGAAGAAAATAGTAGTCTGTCTGTTAAGCACATAAATTTAGCTGGCATTTGATATTTTGCCTGAGGAGTCTCTTGAATCAGGCTGTGCCATGGCCATGCTGGGAGGTTTCCTCAGGAGAAAATTCCAGCACTAAGTATTGCATTCTAACTCCAGAGGCACCTAGTTTACCCTATTATTTATGAAGCAACTTTGTTTTTCACAACATGAGACATTCTCTAGCTCTTGTGTGAATAAATAAGACCTTGTGAAGGAACTAATAATAGAACCAATATTTAGTAAGACAGGACAAGTAAAGACAAAGGCAGGAAAGAAAGGCCTCTTCTCCTTTTTTCTGCATGGTCTTGAAAATTATACCGAGTTTTCTCACTCACATTTCTGTGTGGAAACCAAGTGTAATTTCTGTTTCTGGGGACACAGCAAAAGCTTTTAGCTCTTTTTTCCCTCCAGCATATTATGGGGGTACAAATGTTTAGGTTACAAATATTGCCTTTGCCCCACCTGAGTCAGAGCTTCAAGCATGTCCATCCCCCAGATGGTGCACACTTAACCCATTAGGTGTGTATATACCCATCTCCTCCTTCCCCTCCCGTCTGCCCGACACTCAATGAATGTTATTCCCTTATGTGCACTTAGGTATTGATCAGTTAAAACCAATTTGATGGCGAGTACATGTGGTGCTTATTTTTCCATTCCTGGGATACTTCACTTAGTAGAATGGGTTCCGGCTCTATCCAGGAGAATACAAGAGGTGCTATATCACCATTGTTTCTTGTGGCTGAATTGTACCCCATGGTATACATATACCACATTTTATTAATCCACTCACTCTTATCTAGTGGGAACTTCTATCTGAGCAGCAGGCTCCTTGCTGGGTTTGATTGATCCAGCCCCTCCTGCATGCTCTGACCATCTCTAAGGCTGTGTGTGGAAGTCTACTGTGCACCCCCCACCCCTTTACCATTTTGTCCTGACTCCTGATAAGCCTCATTCATAAAAAAAATGCTATGTCTTAATGGTAAGAGCCAGAGGACCTATAGTTTAGTCTTGGCTCTGTGGCTTAATAGCTGTACAGACGTTGGGCAAGACACTTAACCTGCCTGAGCATGATGTGTCATCTGCAATGTTGGCATAATACATCTTATAGAATTTTTACGAAGGTTACTATAACATATGTAGTAGTTGTTGGCACAGAGTGAGTGCACAAAACATGTTAATTTCATCTGGACTGTCAGGCATTATTTTTTATCTTAAGGAAAAGATGAATAATTTAAAATGACATTCATAGCTATCCATTTCCTTGATTTAATAATTCTTTCATCCATATTTCTTTTTCTTTGTTTTATCTAGAACTTTTTCCAATTAAAAAAAAAGACAAAGGAAAAAATAACAATTATATACCGTGTGGGATCCTGAAGAAGATCCTGGAACAGGAAAAGGTATTAGAGAAAAATTGCCAAAATCTGAATAAGATTTATGATATAATTAATAAAAATGTACCAATGTTAATTTCTTACTTTTGATAATTGTACTACGGGTGTGTAAGATGTTAACACGAGAAGTGAGGTAAAGAAATTCTTTGAATTAATTTTGTAACTTTACGAAGTTTAAAATAAGTTCAAAATAAAAAGTTTTAAAAATAAAAACAAATTATTCAGAAGTTATCAATTCCATTTCTCCTTTTCTTTCTGAAACAAATCTTTACAACTCTGTCTCAATGATTCCTGTTCAATTCTTAGTGGAAGATTCTTACCTTCTCCACACACAACAGGTAGCATGTTCTGTTGGGACTTCAGTTTCAAAAGAAGGATGTGGTTTTAGAAACAAGTTCATTCATCACTTTGTATTACTCCTTTCTCCATTATTTTATCCATTTCTTTGTTCCAGATACTAAATTCATTATGGTTGCACTTCCTTAAGCTAGCTGACATCTTAGCTGTCTTCTTTTTTTGAGATGTGGCTATGCTATGGGGCCCACAGTTAAGAATCCCACCATTTCAGATTACTGTGGGTAGAGTCGAATGGAATAGCCCAAGGTTAAGGCTGTCACCCCTACTTGCTCAAATGCTCGGTTTTGAATTTGTATCAGCAGTA